AGAACGATAGAAATAACTCACATAAAAACAAAACTAAAGTTTGAATACACCCGGACCAAGTCCAAAAAAGCGAAAATAAGGGAGAACCACTTGTTGGTAGCCTTGACTGATCCAAACAAAGGCATAGAGTCCAAAGCAGTTAAAAATACAATTGAGACTTAAGATTCAAAAGAACAAAGTCACAAATATACTGAGAAGATAAAAAACAACACTAAGACTTCCTAGATTGTACACCATCTTCAGAGTTGCTACCTATCCCAGTGACAGCGGACCGGTGAACATCCTCAAATTCAGTCCATTCTAGTATGGCAGCTTTAACAATAAGAGGAGCCGACCTCGAACTACCTTCAAATTGTCATAAGTTAAGAGATTTCTAAAGCCACCACAATATATGATGGAGACGAGGCCGCGTTAGCGTTTTTACAGAAATATGACCGTCTCCGAGTTTAGATTATTTATTTTTCCGGTCTTTTTCATTTGTCAGATTTATATTCATTATCATTTTTAGTTTTGTTATTTCTATTAGTGGGCTTGTTAATTATTTAATAAGGCAGTTATTTTAGGAAGTTAAAGAGTAGTGGGCTCTTCTTATTTGTACCCACGCAGTGAACATAAACTTCATTCATCGTATTATCATTTGAAGAAAACAGTGAACTGTTCTTGTGTTCTTATTCCCTTTCGTATACATCCTCTACATCAATATATATGTAGAAAGTTGATCCTCGCTTCTGAGACCTCACTTTTGTCAAGCTCACTGATATGCCACCACCAGTTTTTAAATGTGCCAAGTCCCTTAGGATGGTGCCAATTTCTAGAGCAGAAGGGCCTTAGGACAATGAAATAGTACATGCTGGATTGTTTCCTCTTCAGAACTACATACCTTACAAATATGATCAACCTCCTTCCCCTTTATTTTCCACACTAACAAGAAGTATGCATGAAATATACTTTCAAATAAAGTGTTTGATCTGCCTTTAATCTTCAAACTCCAAAGTCCTTATGATATTTGATAATAACCTCATTGCTTTGAGCTCTGTCAAACTTAAGAATTTTCAGATCAGTAAAAACTGAGTAGGTATTGTTAACTATTATAGGCCCAGCCCATATACTTAAGGCCCTAAGTCTATATATATGGGCATCCTCTCCTCTATGTATTCATTCATTGGTCAAAAAACCCTAAGGTTAGTAATATGGTATCACAACCTTACACATTAATATTTTTTTTCGATCTCACCTCCCACCCCAGTCAACTCGCCACCTCGATAAAGACTTTCCGGCCAAGTTTCGCCGTGAGAAGCCGCGCGTGTGACCGCCGGAAGTCGCTGCCGTAAATCTCACGCGCCGGCGCGTGAGGGCGCGTGGCCGGTCAGAATTTTTTCCGGCAAACATCTGCGAACTCGGAATCCTGTGCTCGTGCTGCCAGTGTTCTTTGTTGTGTTTCGGGACCTTTTGGTGTGCGTTTTGCCCTTTTTCAGATTCATCGCTTGTCGGGGTTAGGGTTCGTGTACTTTAATCCGTCCCGGCTATTGTCAATCGTCTGTCGTGTGCCCCTACGCTGCCTGTTGCAGCACTTTTATTCATATTTCATCGCGGCTCGTTTTACCTTTTTGTCAAATCATGTTGCAACTTCATGCAATTGCTATTAATATTACTTTTGATGGTCAGAATTATCGTGAGTAGGCTTTTTCGGTTGAAACTGTGTTGAGGGGTTATGGTTTGGCTTTCCACTTGACTGATGATGAACCCGAAAGGAAGGCCGATAATAGCAATGCTGGTGAAATCAGAATATGGCAGATTAACGATGGGAAAGTGATGGCTTCCATCGTCAACAGTGTCAAGCAGTCCATGATTATGAGTCTTTCTTCCTTTCGGACAGCCAAAGGAATGTGGTCCTATTTGCAGCAGCGCTATGTTCAGGATAGTGGTGCTCTCTTACACACCCTTATGCAACAAATTCACATTATTGAACAGCACTCCATGTCCATTGATGAATATTACTCTACTTTTGATCGTTTGATGGGACCATTGATCACTATGGTACCTCAGTGCTCGGCAGAGGAGTGTTCAACACATAAATTTGTTGAGAAGTTTTTTATTTATTGCTTTGTCATGGGAGTCAGAGCAGAATTTGAGTCCATTCGTACACGGTTGCTTCATAACTACTCTACTCTGACCATGGCACAGACGTTATCTGATTTGATTGCTGAAGAGACTTGTCTCCATTCTCTGTCAGTTGCTTCGCCGTCTGTATCGCAGAGTGTTCTGACAGCTCCTCAAAGGACATCTTCTCAACGGCTTAGTGCACCTAGAGGTGACTCTTCTGACCTTTGTAAGCATTGCGGGAAGACCGGTCATAGTGCCGAGAATTGTTTTACTCAGCATCTAGAAAAGCTGGCTGAGTATCATGCGCGTTGTGCTGCTCGGGCTCGTGGTACGCCTTCTGCTACAAAGGGGTCAGTTTCTGCTGCTGTTGCTGCCCCTCCTGTCCATGCTCCTCAGTCTTGGGTCCTCGATTCTGGAGCATCTTTTCATGTGACATCTGACCAGTCCCAGTTGGTTGCCTGCAAGGCAGTCCCCGATGGTGCTTCTATTCAGACAGCTGATGGCACTTCTTGTCATATCACTCATGAGGGTTCTCTATGCAATTCACGTTTTTCAGTGCCTAATATCTCTTATGTTCCTAAATTATTATGAATCTTCTTTCCGTTGGTCAGGTCACTGATCAAAACTGTTTTGTTGGATTGGATGACTCATCTTGTTTTATTCAGGATCGTCGAAGCGGGGTTGTGATTGGTACTGGCCATCGCCGTAAAGGTTCTTCGAGTCTCTACATCTTAGACACCTTGCATCTTTCCTCTTCCACTGGCTACCGCTCGTGTGTCATCCATTTCTGATCTTCCACCTCATCTTTCGCCAAGTGGCATCATCGTCTTGGTCATTTGAGTGGGTCTCGTTTGTCTACTTTAATTCACACTGGTTGTTTAGGTCGTACATCTATTGAGTCTAGTTTTCATTGTAAGGGTTGCAAGCTCGGAAAACAGCTGCAACTCCCATATAGTACTTGTATTTCTTATTCTGCTAGACCTTTTGATCTTATTCATTCTGATGTATGGGGTCCGTCCCCTTTTCCTACAAAAGGTGGCAATAAATATTATGTTCTTTTTATTGATGATCATTCTCGATTACTTGGATTTATTTTATGAAACATCGTTCTTAGTTGTGTTTCATTTATAAAGACTTTGCTCGCATGGTTCATACTTAGTTTTCTACTCCTATTCAAGTTTTTCGTTCTGATTCTGGTGGTGAATATTTGTCTAACAATTTTCGTCAGTTTTTTACCTCTGAGGGCACTCTTGCCAAACTCTCTTGTCCTGGTGCACACGCTCAAAATGGTGTCGCAGAAAGAAAACACCGCCATCTCATTGAGACTGCTAGAACCCTTCTCATTGCCTCATTTGTTCCTTCTCATTTTTGGGGAGAAGCTGTGTCTACAACTGTTTATCTTATAAACCGACAGTCATGTTCCAAACTGTTTGGTAAGTGTCTTGGTGAGGTTCTTTTTGGTATTCTTCCTAGCTATGAACATCTTCGAGTTTTCGGATGTACACGCTATGTTTTGCTTGCTCCTCGTGAGCGCACTAAGTTGACTGCTCAGTCGGTTGAGTGCATCTTTTTGGGGTATAGTTCTGAGCATAAGGGTTATCGTTGTTATGATTCTTCTGCTCGTCGCATGCGTATATCTCGTGATGTCATTTTTGTCGAGGATCGTCCTTTCTTTTATAACCCTTCCACTTATCCCACATCTTCTTCTTCTTCTTCTTCTTCTTCTTCTTCTTCTTCTTCTTCTTCTTCTTCTTCTTCTTCTTCTTCAGAGTCTACGTCATTCTTATGTCTTCCTCCTATTTCCTTTCTTGATGATGATGTCTCTGTCTCTTCTCCATCTTCCACTCTTGATGAGCCTACACCACCCATTTCTGATGCGCCTCCACCACATAAACAACCCATCACACTCGTCGTTCCAAAGGTCACACAACGCTTCCGCCTCATTCTACTACAATGGCCAGTCCTGATGCTCTCGTCCTAGATGATTCTGTTGGTTTTGATGTGTCACATGCCATTCCTGGAGAGTCTGAAGTTAGTCAGAGATATAATTTACATGATCGTGCTACTATTCAGCCTCCTGATAAGTTGGGATTTCCACGTGCGGGTGCTATTATTGATGAGCCCTCGACCTATCAAGAAGCTTTGAGTATTCCGGAGTGGCAATTGGCTATGTCAGAGGAACTTGCTGCACTTGATCGTACTGGCACTTGGGATCTTGTTCCGTTACCATCGCATGCCGTGCCTATCACCTGTAAGCGGTTCTTTAAGATTAAGACCAAGTCGGATGGTTCCATTGAGAGATATAAAGCTCGTCTTGTTGCTAGAGACTTTCAGCAAACTCAGGGGCGAGATTATGATGAGACTTTTGCTCCCGTTGTTCACATGACTACTGTTCGTACTTTGATTGCAGTGGCTGGTACTCGTTCTTGGACCATATCTCAGATGGATGTGAAGAATGCCTTTCTTCATGGTGATCTGCATGAGGAAGTTTATATGCAGCCACCACAGGGTGTTGATGCCCCCTCTGGACATGTTTGTCGTCTTCGTCGCGCATTATATGGTCTCGAACAAGCTCCTCGTGCTTGGTTTGAGCGTTTTGTCTCTGTCATACGGGTTGCTGGTTTCTCCCCTCGTGATCATGATCCTACTTTGTTTATTCATCTCTCTCCACGTGGGCGTACTCTACTACAATGGCCAGTCCTGATGCTCTCGTCCTAGATGATTCTGT